TTCATCCGGAATGCTGCAAAGGAATAGTGAAATGGTCAAAGACAGAGGCGCCCATTCACAGACCGAGGTTTCTACATTGTCATCTAGTGAGGCCATTCCCTACTCCCCCTAAAAAATCCTGACTGATTTTTGAATTCATCCGATCCTGACTCATTCACAATTTAAATAATTACAATTTCACAAAATTGCACGATATTCATGTCAACATGAAAATAAGCAGTTAAACAAAAAGTTATTCCCACTCATTCACAAATACTATATAATGAAATATGTTTATCAACTGATATTTTTCCCTAAGGAAGATTAATTGCTTTTGGAAAACGGACTGAAATACTTATGCCTGAGGAATTAGACCTTTGTTCTTGGCAACTGGTCCTTAACATTTATGCAATTAATGTTTTATGAGCAAACAGATCTACACACTGACCTTAAACTCTAGTCTTAGTGCTTTTAACAAATAGGCACTGAAATATGCAGCATGGCTGGTGAAAGAATTGGTGTTAGTCTCAATTCTTGAACATCGTAGCTCACGTTTATATTGTGCAAAAATTTGCAAGAGACACTTTTTCAATAACACTGCATTTGGCATTACTTACAGAAGAGATTATCCTGAATTAACAGATGCATTCAATTTTATAGATGGTGAAGAAATTGAAATTTTAAAATTACGATTATTATTTTTTGAGATGAGGTCTCCCTCTGTCCCCCAGGCCGAAGTGCAGTGCTGTGATCAGTGTTCACTGCAGCCTCGACCTCCCAGGCTCAAGAGAACTGATTCTCTCGTCTCAGACTCTTGAGTATCTGAGACTACAGGTGTGAGCTACCATGCCTGGCCAATTAAATTGTGTGTGTGTGTGTGTGTGTGTGTGTGTGCGCGCGTGTGCGTGTGGAGACGGAGGACGGAGTCTCCCTGTGCTGCTCAGGCTGATCTTGAACTCCTGGCCTCAAGAAGTCTTCCCACCAAGGCACTGCTGAGATTACAGGCAGGAGCCACTGCATCTGGTCATGAAATTGGATTTTAGATAAGTGCCATGAGAAGTAATATACACAGCTAGGTGCTTTGCAGAATCTTCCCGAGTCTGTGCCCCTGCTGTCTGCAGCAGCAGGTAAAGGCACACCTAGGCAGGAAGCAGACGGGCCCTCTGGGCATACCATTTTTCCTTTCCTTTCACATCTGTGACTACTCACATTCCCTTCCTCTCATCATACCCCACTCCTTTTTCAATCACTAAAACATAAAAAGAGATGAAGGGGAAGGAAGAAAGGATTAAGGTGACTTTTCCTTCAATACTACAGACTTTGCACCTTGAAGGATTTTTTCCTTTCCTGGATTTCTGCAGTGGTGATTTATAACTTGGAATAAACAAGCATAAGATAATGAATTTAAATTTGCTCCTACCATCTCATCTGCCACTTGGTAGATAGCTGCTGCTGTTAGCCTGTGTGGTTAATGTTAAAATCAAGAATTTAAATTTCAGGTCTGGGAACATGGAGAAATGGGTAATGTCGAGGAAAAAAAGAATGATGAGAGACAATGTGAATACGTATAAAGGAAACGTAAACCTATCCACAAGAAATGTAGATCAATTTTAAGGCTGTAGCACTGAGTTATAAGGGAAAACCCTATTAACAGTTTATACTTTTTTGATAACTCACACACTTTACATTTGCCTGATTCTTGACTTCTTTAAAAAAAAAAAAAAAAAAAACTAAACTAAAATTAGTGAAATATAACTTGAGTAGGAAAATGCAACGCAATGTATCCTGCCCTGTAGAGGGGTTTTTTGTAAACAAAGATGCTGAATAGCAGCAGGGTTTGTGATCTCTGACCCGGGAATTCGTAAGTGAAAGGCCCGTGGAAAGGAAACTGCCCTTTTGCTCCTCAGGGCGTACTGGCTGCGCATGGGAGCCAGACGCAGAGGATACAGCGCGCTCTTTCTTCACCTCACCTCCTGCATCCCTAGCTGTGTGAGCAACACCTTTGACCTTCACCTTGGCTTCCCTGTGCGTTTCACGTCTATATTACGCCTCAGTGTTTTCCAGTCTCACTCATCCCTCTTCACCACCTCTTTGCACACTTCCGGTTTGAGACAAACACTCCACCTTGAGACGGTCTTACTCTCTTACTTGTTCTGCACATGTAAGAATTCTTGGCACATGTAAGAATTCCTGGCAGTACATAAGGTGGATAGACAGATAATTACTGTGTCTGAATGTTGGTAGATCGTAAGCTTCCTCTAGTCAGGAAGTATTTATCGCTTGTATAGTCGTAGCTCTTAGCGTATACTCCTCTTTTTATTGGGATTGAGTTACAATGTTGAAATCACGTTAGTGTGGAAACGTGGCAGTGGCTGCTGGAAGGGCTTGTCAGCACGGCTGGCAGTGAAGCGATTGGAGGGACTCGTCTTAATGCCTCTGCCACTGAGGCAGCCTCCAGTGTGGAGAAGCCTGTAGACCTGGAAGTCAGAGGAGGTGGATTCCACCTCAAACTACTGGAACAATTCTGGGCAGGTTACTCATTTTTCCCTAGCTGTAGTTTTTCTTTCTTAATACCATGGAGATGATAATAATACTTTCCGCGTAGAGGTGCTCTAGAAATTAATTAAAATAATGTATTACGTAACATGGAGAAATGCTTAAAAAAAAAAAAAAAAAAGTGTGTGTTATCTGCCGGGCGTGGTGGCTCAGGCCTATAATCCCAGCACTTTGGAAGGTGGACAGATCACCTGAGGTCGGCAGTTTGCGACCAGCCTGACCAGCAAGGCGAAACTCCGTCTCTACTGAAAACATGAAAAGTAGCCGGCGTGGTGGTGTGCGCCTGTAGTCCCAGCTACTCGGGAGGTTGAGGCAGGAGAATCGCTTGAACCCAGTGGGCAGAGGTTCCAGTGAGCCAAGATCGCGCCATTGCACTCCAACCTGGGCAACAAGATCGCGAGACTCCATCTCTAAGTGCTACGTATGATTACTACCTGCTTCTTGGCACAGAAATGAAAATTGAGAGCCATGTTTTATCTAAAGAAACCTTCCAGGTGAAGAAAAGACTGAGAGAAAAATGATTCATTACATTTACTGTGTGGCGGTAATAAATGGCGTCTTTTAGTTCAGTTATTTGGGAGAGCAAATTATAGTACATGCCAGTCTTTCATCATTGCTGTCCCTGCCTGACTTACAGAAGATAAGGGTTAGTTTAGTTAACATTACCACTGAGTGCTGTATAGCACCTAGAAGGAAATGTATTTACCACTCTGGGATCAAGCTTTTAATCTGCAGAATAATCAGTAGTATCACAAATTGTACATTTGTGTAGCCCGTGTCGATTCCTCCACTGAAATCCTATGACTTAGATTCACGTCTTATGTCCATTATCAGACCGTAAATTCCTTATCCTGTGGGATGTAAGGGAACACATACCCATAAAGGACATTTAGCAAATATTTATTGAATGGATGAAGAAAATATTTTCTTCTTCATGTAAAACACTCTCCTGGGTTTCTAATCTTACAGCAATCTAGGGGCAATTTAAATGTCTTTCTTTAAGAGTAATTGTTGTCTTGGGTCTTTTTGTTTCATTGTCTTGAAGTTTTTCCAAAGTTAATAATGCTTTCTCCTGGGACTTAGCATTTTCCCAGGGATGAAAGGTGAGCTTGTACAGTGATCATATGACCATTACTTTCTATTACAGTCACATGACCATTACTTTCATTAAAAATAAAAATGAATTCAACTTGGTTTTCCGTGTCGAGTTTTTGCTTAAACCCGAGAAAACAATTTTGTTCTCACTGCCTTGCGCAGTAGACTTTTGCTTTAAATTATCCTGATTCTTTGTTGTTATATTTAAGTCTTGAAAATTGTATTTGAGTTATCAGTTATACATTCTTTTGTGGTGTGTTTAAAGAACAAATTTCGAATGTTTTCTAATTTCTTATCCAACAAGCATGGCCCTTGACGTGTGCCAAGCTCATAACGACAGTCCTGTGGGGTTTGAACCCTTCAGCATTTCATAATCACAACAGCTCATGTAAATTTGTATAGTTTTTAGAGCACAGATTGAAGGCAGACCGAATTTGATCCATCCCATTTTATAATTTTTCTTAGAATGCTAACTAAGCATTCACACTGGCTACCGTATTTAATCTATTTAAGCCTCACCTTCTCATTCGTAAAATGGGAATTAATAATAATGCCTATTCAAGGAGACATTGTAAGGATTAAGAGATCATATATACAAACTTGTCTCCCTGGTGGCTGGTACATAAGCAATCAACAAATATCTGTTACTATTACCTGATATACATTAAATATATTTTTATTGATTACCCACAGTCAGCATCTTTTGTATAAAATACTCCTTATTGCTATGATCTGCAGTGAAGGTTAATGTATTATTTAACTAAATGTCAACCTGTATTTAACAAACATCTGTTCCATCTAAGATCCACATGGAGCTAGATTTTGGAGTAATCAGAGAAAGAGCTGGAAATGGATCTTATCAAAAAGCAGGAAAAATAAGACAAATGATTCAAGAGTGGTTTCAGACACACTGCTGTGAGCACACAGCTAAGAGAGAGGAGGCTGCCTGGAGACCGTGCAGCAGGGAGGGGAGGTGGCAGGGGTCTGAGTTCTCAAGAATGTGCAAAATTGGGGCACATGGACATCTGGGGCTTGGGAGGGCACCGGAGGAGACCAGGGCAGCTCGAGCAGACGCCTGGAGGCACAGAGCCTCAGGCGCAAGGCTTTCAGTTCGTTAGTGGCACACCTTTTGTGAAAAGCGTTGAGAAAACTAGGGAGAGCCTTGGATACCAGGTTGTGTTTAGTAAACACTGGAGAAGGCACCGTTTAGGGAGAGGAGTGGCATGAGCAGGCTGCGCCCTAGGATTGAGCTAACGCGCAGGGAGCTAGTAGGAGGCTCTAGGCATAAACAACTGAGAGGCGTGGAGCCGAGGAATGAAGACAGTGAAAAGGAAGGTACTGAACTGACAAGTCTCACAAGACTGGCAACACACAGGTGAGGTGGAGGAAGAGCTGAGAAGACGTCACGTGGCTGGGAGGAGCACCATAGTACAGTGGGATCACAGAAGATGAGGGTTTGTCAGGCAGATGAGGAATTCACTCTGGGATACACCTTGAGCTGAGGTCTAGGAAAACATCCAGAGAAGGGACCAGGCTCGGGGCTGCACGTTCACGGTGGAGTGCAGCAGGAAGTTAAGGACTGGGAGTATAAACAGGCAGCTTTGCATGGACAGGTGATGGTGAACACACAGCAATCACAAACTACACAGCAGGTGCCATCACACGCCAGGCGAGGTTAGAGCACTCATTACTGTGGTTGCCAGGTGCTTCAAGACCCTCTAAAATGAGGGGCGTCTCCTTTCTCTGCTGGAACAGTGCTTCTCAACGTGTGTGCCATCAACTGGCAGTCACCAGTTAGTCACTTGCTCCCTGTCCAAGAAGAGGTAAGTACAGAAAGGGAGAATAAGCATTTAGAAATGTTACAGCAGTTGGCAGAGGAGCGTTCTGTCTGTTGACTCTAATATTACATTTGGATTCATATTTTGTATATCCATCTTACCATTTTATTTTCCTGTTTTAAAAGTATTTATATGCAATATGTTGGAAAATGTTCTGACAGTACCGACAGTTTGAAAACCACCGAGGTGGACATTACTAAGATACCTTTAGACCACACTGAGCAAAAAAATTTCAGGACACCAAAGAAAACAAAAACAAAAACAGCCAAACGATTACATTATCTTTTACTGTCCTTAAAATACCGGGCTGAGCAATATTCAGATAGGATCCTCTGATTGAAGGTGCAATTCTTTACATTGTTCGGATGATCTGGAGTTGAGGACGTGCGCAGTTCACAGTGTCTGAGTGCTGTGGTCACTGGGGTGCAGCCTCCAGCCAAGCACCCACTGCCTGGAAGGAGGCACTTTCTGATTCTTATTCCTGCTTTCATCCTAGCTCGTAAATTTAGGTTTTGTTTTGACATTAAAACCATGGGGAGCGGAGTCTATTGCTTTCTCTGAAAATAAACCTTTGGATTATTCGAAATGAGGAGTGACAAAGGAAAGTGAAAAAGCCAGGGGAAAAATGTCAGTTAGCATTCACAGGTCCCATACCACGTCTCCTTCACATACAGAGGACACCCTTTTCTCATGGCTGCGGGGCAGGTATTTGTTTCATTTTATCCAGTTAAATCACGTACCTTTTCAGATATGCAGAATTTTACAATTCATAGGCAAAGATTTTTAAAAATTACCTTCACATTTAATGGTCTTATAAATAGAGTTACACAGACACATACTTACAGGATGATTCACTAGGCACTGTGTACTACATACTGATCAAGCAAATGAATAAATACTGTTCATTAACAATGTATTGAAAAACATCAAAAGTTGTCCCTTTTTGTTTGAGAGGTAGAAATACTCAGTGGAGACGCCATCTTTTATAAAGCGCAGAAAAGGGTTTGTCATGATTAAAGATTATGGAGCTTTGCAATGATTAAATACCATTAAGAAGCTGACAGCGTTTGGCACTGATAGGAAAAACAGCCAAGCTAAGACTTACCCTTCTGTTGTTTAAGAAACAGATTATTAAGGTAAACAGATTATTAAATAAAATGTTCTTCTCAAATGCGTGCATACTGACATAGTCTTCTTAGAATCATTGCCTTTTTAAATTTATAACCCTAACTTGAAATTATTTTCAAATATTGTGGAACTTCTATATAATGTTAGTCAGTAGGATGAGGACACATCTCACCTTGGGAGCTCCTGTTCACAGCAGGGTTTTGATGTTAATAATTCTATTTCAGAGAATGTTGCTAGTTGTATAGAAAGTTAAAGTGGGGATTTATATTAAAATACAACATTTAATTCAATTCCCTAATATCAAACAGTGTGAAGGCTTGAAAACCATCCCTGTAGATACAGGACTCTTCATAATCCAGTCGGACTAAGAGTCTATAAATAGAACCCCTCGAATAAAATGAACCCCTCCCCTCAAACAGAAGTTTTATTGCTAATTTAGTGCAAAAAATTAAATCCTAAGGAACTATAGTTTCGGTATATGAAGTGCACTTTAAATAAGTGGGTGATTATATTCCCGGGAAAGGTCTCCCTGAGACCTTGGTTTTACTTTGAACATTTTTGTAAGCATGTTTTACTGATTGATGTGATCATTGATCAACTGCTCGTTAGTCCACAAAGCCAGGGTTCTTAGCATTTGAAGTAACAGCTGGTATTTCAGGATCTACTAGGCACCACATACAGCATGCATGTTTTATAGACGTTATCATAAATCCCCAAAACACACATGCAAGGTAGGAATTTTATTTCCATTTTACAGATGAAGAAATTGAGACTCAGAAAGAATAAGAACTTACCTAAGTCTGCCTAGCTGCTATGTAAAAAATGTCAGATTCAGTTCCTGGAAATAATCTGCATCAGGCGTCCCCAAACTTTTTACACGGGGCCAGTTCACTGTCCCTCAGACTGTTGGAGGGCCGCCACATACTGTGCTCCTCTCACTGACCACCAATGAGAAAGGTGCCCCTTCCTGATGTGCGGCGGGGGGCCGGATAAATGGCCTCAGGGGGCCGAATGCGGCCCGCGGGCTGTAGTTTGGGGACGCCTGAATCTTCCGCACATAGATATAACCAGGTATTTTTAATGAATTAATATAGTAATGAGGATTCAAATCTACTTCCAAAGTAACTCATGGTATTTCCACTGGAACAAAATGACTCCAAAGAGTTATACTCTTTCCAATAAAAATTTAAATATCTTATTAGTAATCTAAAAGTATCTTTCTCAAAATAATATTCCTGTTAGTACTGATAAAGAGACCATAATAGTCCATTTCAAAGTACAAATAACAAATGCCTTTTGTCATAAAGGCATGACTTCTTAACAGTAAAGCATTCATTGTGTCAACTCTCTTCCAGTTTATTTTTATAATTATGTTTCTTCTAAGTTATATATGGTGTCTACCAAATCAAATATTTTATTCGTACTAGAAAGGCAGTAATGAGTAAGCATTGTCTTACTAGAAAAAAATGGAGAAGCGATTAGAGGATGCATTGCCAGGGGAAGGCTGTCCTGTACATCAGCATTTTCTCTCTTTCTTTCTTTTGTAATTTTTTAACAAGCCTACAGCACCCAGTATTACCAGCCAGTCTCCCATCCAAGTACTAACCAGGCCCGACTCTGCTTAGCTTCCGAGATCAGATGAGATGGGGCGGGTTCAGGATGGTTTGACCATAAACAGCGTTTTCTTAATTAGAGGTTTCACTTAAGGGTTTGGAGGAAGCCTCATCATTAAATATTGACAACTGTAATCCTTGCCAGGCACTAATGTTCGTGTTTCTCTAGCGAGTATATTTGTTTCATATAATATTTAACGTTGTGGATCTTTTTTGACTATTGATTTCTTTTTCTTTCTTTCTTTCTTTTTTTTTTTTTTTTGAGACGGAGTTTCACTCTTGTTACCCAGGCTGGAGTGCAATGGCGCAATCTCGGCTCACCGCAACCTCCGCCTCCTGGGTTCAGGCAATTCTCCTGCCTCAGCCTCCTGAGTAGCTGGTATTAGAGGCACGCGCCACCATGCCCAGCTAATTTTTGTATTTTTAGTAGAGACGGGGTTTCACCTTGGTGTTGAGCAGGATGGTCTCGATCTCTTGACCTCGTGATCCACCCGCCTCGGCCTCCCAAAGTGCTGGGATTACAGGCTCGAGCCACCGCGCCTGGCCGACTATTGATTTCTAACGTAAATGATATAATTTTGAGGATCTATAAAATATAGTTAAAATATATTTTTAAAATATGTAGTTTTAAAGTTTTATTAAAGTGACAATTTAAAAAGTAGTAAATTCAGTTCTTTACAGTGAAATTTCTTTAGTAGGGCGTACCAAAATTGCGTTGAAAAAAATCTTGGGATCCTACGGAAGATATAAAGGAGACATTGATTGGAATTGATATTCAGATGCACACAAACATGATGACTGTCCTAGTCTGTGTGTCTGTGTGCTCCGCATATACTTCTAATCTATACCTTGCTGTCCCTGTTGGGAGCCTCTGTTTTGGTCCCACACTGACCCTGAAGCAAGATGCAACTTTCTTTTCCCCATAAGGAATTCATGAACTGCAATTGCCTTAAATCACGAGGAAAAACTCCATATTTCAATAAAGATTCCTTTGAAAGATGAATGTGGTTCATATCACACACTGTACAGTATCTCACTTCAAAAGTTTTAATTCCGCTTCCAGCAAGGGTGGACTGGATTGTTTCACACCAGCCACCAGCTGAGAGCCACTAGAGAAACTGAACACGAAGTTCAAGACCACGATAGAGTTGGGGTGACCTGGAAATAGTGTAATGCCAGAGACTGAAACCCAGTTTTAGATCTCAATTCCTGATTGGATTAAGGTGTCCTGGGACTCTGAGAAACCCCAGCACAGTCTGTTATATGAAGCAAATACAATCCTCTTTGGACTTAAGCTGCAAGCAGCAGCTCTATATTGCTTACCAGACACCATTTAAGTAGAAGAAAGAAATGTCAAAAATAAATGTGCACATCGTGTTTGTATGTGCAAATATTCCTAATAAAAGAAAGCTGGTGTATCTTGTCTTATATCAGACCAAGTAGACTTCCCAGTAAATAAGAAGCATTGGTAGAAGTAACAAGGGCCATTTCATAAAGATTAAAGGGCCATTCTCTGAGAAAATAGGAGAATTCTTAATTTATAGATACCAATAACATTGTTTCAAAAATGTGTAAAGATGCATTGATTTGACTAACTTGTAGCAGCTAATGTCTGCTGCCAAGGTTTTCTCTCCAGATGCAAGAGAAAAGTGTTCTGGCCCTTCTTGTCCATCTGCCTGTTGTAGCCAAGATTGAATGGAAGAGTATAGGAATCATAGAACACAGTTAGGAGACTACAACTCAGACATCAACTTCTAAACGGTGAAAAACCTGTTTTACTCCAAAAAAGGAATCTAAAATTCGACTTTATGAAATACAGTTGGCAGAACTAAAAGGAGAATCCAGAATTGTAGTGGAAGATTTTACCAGTAATTGTATCTAATTGCCTGTTTGTTTGAGACAGGGTCTCACTCTTGTCATTCAGGCTGGACCACAGGGATGTGATCTCAGCTGACTATAGCTTGTAGGCAGAATCACCTGGGTGCAGGTGATTCTTGTCTACAATACTCTCCTGGCCTTTTTGTCTACCTTTGTGTCAATAACATACTCATACTGTCTTATTTTTTTAATTATTATTTTTTTAAACGGATATTTGTGGAGCAGGGTGTGCTAAAATACTGAGGATGGAGGTGTGCAGGGAAAAAGAAATGGAAAGATGCCAAACATTGATGGTGGCTACCTCCAGAGATGGGTGGGAGATCAGAGGGGGCAGGAAGCAGAGAGAGGGTAATGAAGGATCTCAAT